CATCATGCTAACTGAAATAACTCAGAGAAAGGTGAATACCATCTGATCTCACTTATGTGTGGAATCTAAACAATGTCAACAGGAACAAAATAAAATCAATAACAACTACAAAATCCAGGGCATGAGAATAGATTGGCGGCTGCCTGGGGTGAGGTGGAAGAGGTGGAAGGTGCTAAATTGTTGAAGGGAGTCAAAAGGTACAAATTCTGAGTTATAAACGAATAAATCATGGGGACGTAATATATGTCTGGAAGTAGCTAGGAGAATAGATCTTGAAAGTTCTTGTCACAAGAAAAAAGTGTGTAAGGATCTGTGGTGATGGACGTTAACTGACCTCAGTGTGGTGATCATTTTGCTACAAATACGGGTCATTACCCTATACATCTGAAACTAATATAATGTTATGTCAAGCATTCCCCAATACATGTGTGCATGTCTATATATACAGAATATGGACCCCAAATCCATCCCGGCATAATAATTATTTTGAGCTGAAGGCAACTGAGAAGAAGCAGATTTAAGGAAAGCTCTCTGCCTTCCTCCTATTTAGCTAAAAGCATGACATAAATTTGTGAAGGAAATTCCCTGCCAGGAAGAACAGAGGTTACCCTTGTCAGCCCAGAGAAGGCACCAAGGGAATCGACATAATAAAATTTACTAAGTAGCCCTCGTCTTCCATTAGCACCACATTATATTTCACTTCCACAGTTTGCCACCCTAGACACTCAAAGCCCTTCTCCCGTGTCTGATCGCTCCTCTGATCACGCATCGTCTTTCTGTTGAGATGCTGCAAGATCCCAAGTACTAATCACCCTGGTGAGTTACCCATCGATGAATGTTCCCACACAAATGCACAATGCCTGTGCTAATAAATTTCTGTTTGCTTTTATTTTGTTAATATTTCAACTGTCAATCTAACTTGCAGGGCTCCAGGCAATCAACCCGAGATGAGAAGAGGGACAAAGAATTTTCTCCTCCCCTACAGCTCTAAGGAAAAATGACAAGCCTACATTACCAATCTAGAAAAGCTTCTCACACCTCAAGGCGGGAGGTGGAACTTTACTAAGTTGTTTTTTTGTTAAAAAAAATAGGTGCCTTGGTTAAGAGTACACGTATCCTGATGAGCACTGAACGATGTGTGGAACTGTTGAATCACTGCATCATACACCGGAAGCTAATAGAACAAACACGGTATGTTAACTACACTGGAATTAATTTTTTTCCATAAAGGTGCTTTTGGCAGTATAGGACCAAGGGATGGGGCAGCACTGGCTCACTCTTGCCCTGTTTTTCTTTATACCTAGGAAGCACAGAGCGACTGACACGGGGCAGAAAAGAGAGCGGTGCACACATGACAGATGAGTAGGTTATGTTTTCATATTTGAGGGATTACTCCAGAGCTTCTCAACCTCTTTAAAATTGGAGATGGGAGAGTCTCACAAAAGGTCCACCCCCCAACCTTCTGCATCAGGACCCCCAAGGGTAAGAGTAAACTGTTTTTTTTTTCTTTTCCATCCACAGGTAATTCCCACTCCCACATGCAGCGACAGTTGCAGCTTATAGAAAGCGAGCTAAGCTTTCTTCTGATCTAAAAGGACCCACTTCTCTTCAGCACTTACAACCATTGCTCCAGCCAGATTACTCCAGTCCTAGGTGTGGAATAACACAATGTCAGTCTAGGTATCAAGAAGGTGGTATCCGGGGATAATAGGTATCTTCAAAAACTTCAGTGGAATTGGTGCAGCTCTAGAACCCTCTGCTTTGGACACCATGACTTGGTCAATAGAAAATGCAAAGTGTCTAAAGCCGGCCCACAACCCAGAGCACCTGGGACAGAGCTTCCTGAGAACGTCCTCCTACTACTAGCCCAGGATCCCCCGGGATCAGCTGTTGCTGGGGAAGAATGAGACAGCAAAATAAACACCTCCCTGCCACAAACAGCATCCTAGACCCAACTGACACTATGGAAGATTTAACCTTTATTCCTCATACAAACCTGCCACTCAAACTAGGTTTTTACTATCCTCAGTGGTGGCTACTTCTATCTTAAAAAGAAAGAGGAAGGAGAAGGAGAAGGAGAAGGAAGAAGAAGAAGAAGAAGAAGAAGAAGAAGAAGAAGAAGAAAACAGAGGAGGAAGATGAGGAGGGGGAGAGAGGGAGGGGGGGAGGAAGAGGGGGGGAAATAGTAGTGGTAGTTGATATCAACGGGGAATTCTGCAAGTTGAGAAACTATTTGCCAAAAAGGGAAACAACTATCTCCTTTCCAGAAATGGTGGACTTCCCTGGGGTCCTGTGTGTCCCGTTGCTGTTAGCAGAGTGAGTAGACAGTGCAGAGATGGAAGGGCCTGGAATCCACTTCTACTTGTGGTGTGGAGTTGCATGGTCACAACATCTATGTCAACACTACCTTAGACTACCTGGGATCAATATTAATTAGGAACTTTGAACAATGACCAATGAGCTTGTAGGCATGTTAGGGATTTTTATTTTTTTTATTTTTTAAAGATTTTATTTATTTATTCATGAGAAACCCAGAGAGAGAGAGGCAGAGACACAGGCAGAGGGAGAAGCAGGCTCCCTGCGTGGACCCCGACACGGGACTCGGATCCCGGGACCCCGGGGTCACGTCCTGAGCCAAAGGCAGACGCTCCACCACTGAGCCACCCAGTGTTAGGTGGCTCCCCGTGTTAGGGATTTTTAGGGGTGCATGTATGCATGTGTGTTTGCACGTGTGTGGTTGTTGAATTTGTCTTTAAATATAGTAAATTCCAAGTCACTTGGTCCTCTGTATATTTGAAAAGTGAAAGATTCATTCCATTTCTGGGGATATTCACACTGATCCTGGAGGGGTTCAGAGTAAGTCTCCCCAAAATATGCCACTTTGGCATGTGAACTCTTTTTTAGCTAGAAGCAATCAAGATCCCACATGCTCAAGAAAAACTTTTGCCCTCTCCTTAACTACCAAGAAGAATTTAAATTAGGGGTCTCTCCCAGAATGAGAGTTTTTACCAGAGAGAAATAGTATCTGAGTGACCATGTGTGGGGCAGGGCACACGTCTAATTGCCAAATATCTGCTCTGCTTTTTGCCTGTGCTTTGGCCTCCTCTCTGTTAAATTTTGGGCCCCTCTTCCACGGCTTAGCTCAGGAGGGCTCCTGTCCTTCATCTCACCCTTCTGCCTTTAAACTTTCATGTACGTAGGGTCCCTATATGTACAAAATTCAATTCAATTTTCTCCCGTCAATCTATCTCGGGTCAATTAAGTTCTTAGACGAGTGTAGAGGAAAATTTCCTTCCACCCCGGCAGCAAGGCAGCGATACTTGTAAATAATTCAACGTATCTTACTTCGCCTTGACTCAACTCACTGCCTGGCAAAGAACAATTGTTCTAAGTTGTTGTTGTTGTTTTTAACGTAATTATTGCAATCTGGCTACTCAAAGTGTGGTCCAGGTACGACAGCATGAGCATCAAGGAATTGAAATGCAAATCTTCAGCCCCATCTAGACCAACAGAACGAAAATCTGCATTTGAACAAGAGCCTTGGGTGATCTGTACTCACATTGAAATTTGAAGAGCCCTCACCTAGAGCAGTATTTCTCTCCCCGGGGAGGTGAATCCACCCCTTATGGGAGACTCAGCTGGGATGCTCCCCTAAAAACTAAGTCCCTGGACCCCACCGCAGACCAGACCAAATGAAACAGACCCTCTGGGCTGGGGGCTCCCGACATCACATTAAACAAGTTCCTCTCTTTTAGGTTCCTCAACCTGCAGGCCCTCTAGAGTCTGAGAACCAGCAGCGCAGTAACGTTTCAGAAAACTGCGCGTGTTGTCAGTTTGTATGTATGATCGCGTCACCCAGATAAAGCCTTTGAGCAAGACATAAGTAGAATTTTAACCTCCTCAAGGTTGGGTTGACTATAGAGACTCAATGACTCTAGTCTCACTGACTAGAGGGAGGCTGGCACACATACACGCACCACGGGCATTAGAAATGGTTGCAAGTGCAGAGAAACTGCCTTTGATATGAGGAGAAGAACCACCTTGGGAGGTTCTGTTGAGCATTTGGAACGAAATGCAGACTAACAGGTCAATTCTGTCCGAGAGAAAAGGGAGTAAAGGGTGAACAATGATGTGATTACACCTCTTACACTCTAGTTGACCTGTTGCTTGTGCGCCTCCGACACACTACTACAAATTGATTTGATCCTACTAGGTTACTTTCAATTCAGGGGAAGACATTTTTGTATTCGTCAGATGTGAAAAGCAAAAACTCAAGCTACCAAAAATATATCCTGCATTGATACCCCTCCCATGCAGGGGTAATCTTTATTTATAATTGCTGGTAGTGAATCGCTTTTCAAATGCCAGGCTGAAAGCTGTCACTCCGTCTATGCGGTTCCGTACAAGAGCCAGTCTACTTCTGTATGGTTAGAAAATCTAATTGGGGGGCGCCCGGGGGGCTCAGCGGTGGAGCGTCTGCTTTCAGCCCAGGGCTTGATCCTGGGGTCCTGGGATCGAGGTCCGCATCAGGCTCCCTGCATGGAGCCTGCTTCTCCCTCTGCCTGGGTCTCTGCCTCTCTCTCTCTCTCTCTCTCAGGAATAAATAAATAAAATCTAAAAAAAAAAATCCAATTGGGTACAATTTTCACTTTCCCTCTGGAAGTTTGACATCAGAAACATGGCTCCATTAATTCTATTTTCATGAGTTCCCGCACGACCCAGACGACCCCCACAAACGTCTGGACTTTGTGACATATATATATATTGTACTGTTCTCTGCTCCGACCTAGCTAGAGCTTTAGAATCGCGAAATAATTTGCCTTAAAATACTAAATACATCAAAAAGATCTTTGTACACAGCATTTGGCTTTGACTTAACATTCTCACAGAAAGCCAAACCAGAAAAGGACACATTTTTTAACAGAAGCAGGAAATCATATTAGAAATGCAAGAGCAATTCTCAACACCTTTGGAACCTTTTTTCCAGAAAGGTCACATACCTCGGAGTATAGGATCCCCATGCTGGTCCTTCACAGATTTGTGCCACCTCTACAGCTTCTTGAATCTTCTGGCAGGATTTCTGATTCACATAAAATCCTTCCAGCCAAGGGACAGATCCCTAGCAGCCGCGGCCCGTGGCTCGTCCTCTGTCCCCACACCTGTGAGTATTCTTCAGCAACACGGGCAGCGATGCGCCTTCTGGAGAACCCAGCCCAACGAACACAGGCATTGGTTTACGGCGTAATGACCCAAGTGTGCATCATCCAAGTGTTACAACCCGAGGAACCGGTTTCTGAGTCATATTTGCTCCGCCAGTGGTGACATGAAGAAAAGAAGGGAGCAAAGTCAAGGGGGAAAGGGAAGTTCTCCCTCTGGCAGGAAGGACCCAGGGTTCAAAATAAAGTGCTGGGTTTAGGACATTTCCTTATTGAAATCTAGTTTCCAGTGGCTATTGAGAAAGGCTATGGGTGACCAAACCCACTTGTTAGAACCTTGTCCATCTTGACTTTCATGAAAAATAATCCTCGAGAGGCGGCCAGGGGGCTCAGTGGGGCAAGGAGCGGGCTCCTGATTTGGGGTCAGGTCCTGATCTCAGGGTCCATGCTCAGCACGGAGTCTTCCTGAGACTCCCTCCCTTTCCCCCTGCCCCCACCTCCAGCTCAAAAAACAAGAGAGGAAAAGACTCTTTAAAACTGTCACTATGGATTATGTGCAATCTTTAAGCACAGGGAAGGTTATTTGCTTTTCCCTGATGGTCCTGATTAATATAAACAAATTAAGGTAAAAAAACTAATAAATGAAGGTCAATATTTAAGCTATATTATTTTAAATACATAAAGGTGTTCACTTTCAAGGGCGTTTTGAATAAAGCTTGAGTGACTCAACTTGAAAAAACCAGACTCAAATGCCAAAAAAAAAAAAAAACCCCACAACTACTCTCTTCGAAGAATCAGTCCCATTTATATCCTACTTAATTATCTTTAAATGTTTATTTTTTTTAATTATTTTTTTTATTTTTTTTTCTCTTTTTTTTTCTTTAAATGTTTAAATTATACTTCCGGTATCACTATATTTAATTTTCTTTAATAAGCACTTTGATTCTGAAGCTAACAAGAAGCACTTCCCCGGCTAACATGGGCTTGTAGAGCTAATAAACTTATTAACACAATAGATATTAAGTTGTCTTAAATATCCTAACACCACTTATAATAAGAATCACATACTTCACCTTGAACCTGGCAGTAGGCCCAACCTCGCGGGAGTTTAAGAATTAACGATTCTGGGTTTCCAGGATGCACGCAGGTTCCTGGGTCTCCCGTGAGTACACACGAGGCACACTCGGTAACTGGACTTGGTTGGTCCTTCTCTTGCTAGTCTGTCTCTTATTACGGGTGTCTCGGCCACAGGCCTGGAGGGAGAGGCCAGGCTCTTGTTCCTCTCCACCATCTGACCCTGAGAACAACTCGCTGTAATTACGGAAGAGGAGCTGCTTCGCTGTACAAGTGACAGAAAAACAAACCCATAAAAGAGAAATCTGCTCATTGCAATCGGTAAAAACCCTGCAGACCCGTGAGGGTCACGGGTGGTGACGCGGCCCCCAGGCAGCAAGGCCACATTGGGCAGCTACAAACAGTAGATCTGAATTTTGGGTAAAGTTCTGAAATACCCCACGGGGCGTGCTCATACAAGACGATTGTGTTGTTTAACTGAAAATTAAAGGGGCGCCTGGGGCTCAGTCCGTGCAGCCTCTACCTTCAGCTCAGGTCCTGAGCCAGAGCGCCCACGTGGGGGCTCCCTGCTGGGGGGTAGCTGCTCCTCCCTCTGCCTCCACCCTTTCCCTGCTCCTGCTCTCTCTCCTCTCAGATAAATAAAATCTTTTTGAAAAAGAAAGAAAGAGGGGATCCCTGGGTGGCTCAGTGGTTTGGCGCCTGCCTTTGGCCCAGGGCGTGATCCTGGAGACCCGGGATCGAGTCCCGCATAGGGCTCCCGGCATGGAGCCTGCTTCTCCCTCTGCCTGTGTCTCTGCCTCTCTCTCTCTCTCTCTCTCTCTCTCTCTCTCTGTGTCTATCATAAATAAATAAATCTTATTTAAAAAAAAGAAAGAAAGAAGGGCACCCGGGGGGCACAGCAGTTTAGCACTGCCTTCAGCCCAGGCCATGACCCCGGGGTCTCGGGATCGAGTCCTGCATCGGGCTCCCTGCATGGAGCCTGCTTCTGCCTCTGCCTGGGTCTCTGCCTCTCTCTCTCCGTGTCCCTCATGAATGGATGGACCAAATATTAAAAAAAAAAAAAAAAAGACATTTGACAATATCTGGAGACACTTCAGTTGTCACCATTGGGATGGACACAGGCTCCTGGCATCCAGGGGGCAGAAAGCCGGAAGCCCACCCCTTATCCCCCCACCTCCACCCCTCCACCCCCACCCCCTCTGCGTACAGGACAGCCTGGCGCGGCCCAGACTGCGCCAAGGTGGGGAAGCCCTCACAGAGGTCAGGGGAGAATTAGAGGGGAGAGGGGAGGATTAGAGAAGTTGAGTGTTGGATGGGATGTGGCTGGGGCTGCGGAGGGCGGGCGGGTCTTTCTCACCCTTGAGGGCCAGCAGGGGGAACTCGGAGCGTGGGCCGCAGCACCTAGAGACTCAAGAGGAGACCTCGACCCTCGACTTTGTGGGACGGCTCCCAGCGACGGGACGTGAGTAAAGGAGTGTCAGGATCAGAGTTTTATTTGTAAGAACATAAAGTAATAAAGCCATCAGTCTGGCCTCCGTGCAGAATGTGGCTTGGAGGCCACAAGCGCAAAAACAGCAAGACCAGCCTGGAAGCTGCTGCGTGGGGTCAGCAGGGAGGACACAGTGGCGGGGGTGGGGTGGGTGGCAGGGACAAGAGGAGAGGGCCCCTTGCTGGAAGCCGTGGTCAGCTGTGGGGGGAGCCTAGGGGTCCGGGGGGAGCCTCACCTGCCCCGAGCGCCCTGCTCACCACAGTCCCACGCCGAGCCAGCTCCAGGCCCCGAAGGCCACGGCCGGGCAGCCAGGGCCCAGCACCGAGAGCCACCCGCTGTCGCTGTCGCAGGTGAGGCGCCATGTGCCGCCCCGGCCAGCTGACCTGATGCCCTGATGGGCCCGCAGGCCTTCCTCCCACGCCCCGCAGCCGGCGCCCAGGCGGCCTGGAGAAGTGTGTGGGCTCCTCGGTGGGGTGGTCAAACCAAACTGCTTCACCTTTGCCCCTTGACAACCGTGGTCTCCTGGCCCCATGCGCTTCCCTGTAGGCTGCTCTGTGCCCCTCACACCAGCTCTCTGCAGACTGCATCCCCCCCTCCCAGGGCCTCCTGCCAGCCCCCCCCCCCCCCGCCCTGGGCGGCCCTCAAGGGAGAGCAGGACGTCAGGGGGCACAGAGAGCTGCCCCTTCCTACTGTTCCGAGGCCAGCGGCCTAAACCCAGCAACAGGCCTCCACCCTGGAAGCAGCAACAGGTCTGCTTCCCCCCGCAGCCCTGGACCAGCCTCAGCGGCCGGTGGTACCCAATGCCACCACCTCTTTCCTGCAGCCCCGCCAGGTGCAGCTTCTCCCCTGAGCTCCTGTAGCAGCAGGCACATGATGGCCTTTTGTTTTTTTTGTTTTTTTGTTTTTAATTTTTTTATTTTATTTATGATAGTCACACACAGAGAGAGAGAGAGGCAGAGACACAGGCAGAGGGAGAAGCAGGCTCCATGCACCGGGAACCCGATGTGGGATTCGATCCCGGGTCTCCAGGATCGCGCCCTGGGCCAAAGGCAGGCGCCAAACCGCTGCGCCACCCAGGGATCCCACATGATGGCCTGCTCAACGCCCGGGCCCAGGAGCTTCGGGGTCCCCCCCCCACGCCGCGCTCTGCTAGCCGCCACCCTTTCCTCCCCACCCCGGCTGGAGAAGGTAGCTGCTCCTGGCTCTCCGTCACCTCCGTGCTGTCCCTTTGCCTTCTCAGCCTCGTGACATCTGTTCAGATTCTTTATATTAAATGCTTCCAGTTAAAATACCTACTGTGGTTGGGGCGCCCGGTGGCTCAGTGGGTTAAGCATCTGACCCTTGATTTCAGCTCAGGCCATGATCTCAAGGTTGTAGGGTCGAGCTCTGCTTCTGGCTCTGTGCTGGGCATGGAGCCTGCTTGAGATTCTCTGTCTCTGTCTCTCTCTCTCTCCCTTTGCCCCTCCCCCTGCTCTCTCTTTCTTAAATGAATAAATAAATAAATACAAATAAAAATGAAAAAAAAAATAAAAAAGTAAGCCGTGTGTTTTTCCTTACTGGGCTCTGACTGATAACAGTCCTCGGGAGACGTGTAGAAGCTACCAACAGCAGGAAGTCTCAATCCCATATAGGCAACGAGCGGAATTGCAGATCAAGGATGGCATATGTATTTGTTTCCGACTTGGTGCCTTTCCCCAAAATGCAGAACCCTGGAAGGGAAACCGGGTTAGGGAAGGGCTGGGAGACAGGATCTGCTCGGGATCTGCCGAGCTGTGTTTAAGGGACACCCTGGCAGCGCGTCTAAGTAGAGATATCCAGCGGGAAGTGGGTGACGTGGGTCTAGAACTTCACAGGAGGCGTTAGGGACAGAGATCTTCAGGGTTATCAGCAAACAGACCGGTAGTCCCCAAAGTCAGGAATGAGAGCCTTCAGACACCTTATTGCAGCCTTTCTCCCCCTCTACAGCCTGTATGAATTCCTCCGAATAACCCTGTAGGGTTATTTCTTCTCTAAACAACCGAACAACTTTTTTTTTTCATCCAGCACCTTTAAATGTTAACAACCGCGATCTAATTTTGCTAAATCAGAATGTGTTTCTGAGTTCTGTGCTTCGGAGCCCTGCCATCTCTTTCTGCAACTCTCTTGCCTGTGAAGAGCATTTTAGATTGTTTGTTTGCTTGAAATTAAATCCGGGATTCTGAGGTCAAATCGCAATAATTGTTGTTTCGTACTGAGATGGGGTCTTTGCTCCAAGACTTAAAAGATCTTGTTAAATTTGAAACTGCTCTTGAATTTTCCAGAAAGAAGTTTACGGTAATAGAAGAGGAAATGGGGTCAGCCAGCCCTTAAAATGAAGAACCACACTGGCACTGTAGGTTTAAATTGAAAGTGGGTTGGTTAATTGTTTAGCACTTATGCAACACTTAATTCCACAGTGGGTTCCATTTCTGTGTCACCCTCCATCACATAGTCACAGAATTAGTTATTGTCACGTGCTTTAATGGAAACAGAAAGAGTAAATATCATGCTCACGGCCCCACAGTCACTGGAATGCTGCGATTTGTGCTTCCCAAATTTTCAGATGACTTCACATACCTGAGATGAGAGTTCATTTGCATATTTATTTCTTGGTAAAAACTGAAGCTAAAAAGTAACTATATTACTGACAAATCCTGTTAGGTTGGGTGACTGCTTTGGGACACAGGCCCCGCCTTCCTCGACCCATCTGCTCTTCCCACAGTGGCTGAGGAGTCTGCTGGGTGAATTAAATTATAAGGCTCTTGCAATTTTGCAGTAAAACCAGTTTCCCAGGACGAGACAAGCTATGCTTTCTAGGGTGTGGGCTTACTACTGTGCCCCAGGATGGAGGATGTTTCCTATTTTATTTACTCCTGGAACTACAATTTTCACTTGTTCTTGGTGCGTTTGGGGGCTTGAAAAAGAGACGATTTATTCTACTTTTCTCCTGGGGCCTTGACACTCACCCTACTGCATTCCCTTCTGAGGTTATGAAATGCAGTTTCAAGTTTTTAATGGGGTTTCATTTGTTTTGTTTCATTCTATTTTACAATAAAGGGTGGCCTTTTGTTTTTGTTTTTTGTTTTTTGTTTTTTGTTTTTTGTTCTGTTTTTTGAGTTAAGCCTTTGTCAAGGTCGGGGCTGTCAGACTTTGGAGGGCCAGAGTCTTCCTTTCTAGAGATTGACTTCCAGTTCTTGGTAATGCCCAGACCTTGCCAGCCAACCATTTCTCATAGAATACGGCAGGGTCCCCAGGCCTGCGGGTCATGTGCCAACCTTTCGGTTCAAGGCATTCCTTCTTTCTGTCTGTCAATCATGAATCCATCAAAATAAGTGAACAGAGCTATTCCCTGACCTGAGACACTCCATTATGTCGCCATCTTTAAATCGTTTTGAAAGCATTAAGAATGGCCGCATCTGAAGGCCTGAAAACCATAGTATTGCATTCAGGGCCAGCCTTTTCGGAAGGCACTTACCATACTAACTGATGAGAGTTTTGGTCTGTGCTCCTAGCCCCTTTTCCCCTTTATCCATTTCCCATTTGCACTCGCACAATTACGTTATGAGCCAGCTGTGTTATGCTCGGCTTACGCAGACTAGTGAAACTCTGATGGATAGGAATT